GGGAAAGCAGAGAAGCTTTCAGTGTCACAGCAAGAAGCAGAGAGAAGCATTTAGAATTCAATGCAGTTGGTGGCACTCATTACATTCAGAAATGGACCGAGAAGCGCCGCGTAGACTTCTCCCGCCACCTCACTCCTGCTAGCAAACAGTCTTCATGGTGCCAGAGATGTCTCCTAACACCAGTTCACACGAATATTAATAACACGTTTCAGAGTAGCAACCCCAAAGGTGGAGACTGACCTCCTGAGGCAGCTCCAGCTTGGAGCGGTCGGTTCCCTCCTTGGACTGCAGTCCCATCAGGTATGGAACGGGAGCATCCAGAAAATGCAGGAGAGAGGCAGGAAGGATGGGGACATACACGTGCTGCCACTGAAAGGGGAACAGCAGCGTCGTGATCCCCTCCGCCACCGTCATCAGACGCTGATAATCTAGACAGGGAGAGAGAGAGATATTGAATTATCTTTCTGTGTTTCGCTTTTGAAATCTGGTTGGCAAGGACATCTGTGACAAAACAAGACAGAAACCATGTTTATATGGTAAGATGTTCTTTTGAAAATAAGATGGCACTTAAAAACCTTGAACATTATTTAATTCGTCAGAACTCACTACCCTCAGGAAGAAACTGCTGCGCATAAATATTCATATCGTATCTAGATCTATTCCATCATTAAATTCATTTATTAAAATATACCACAAGTTCTCTCTATAGTACAGGATAATAATACTCAATTCTATAAAAAACATGTATTTTTACAAGGGAAAGAAGTGAACTTCAAGGAAACGTTGTAGTTTCTCTCTTGCCCCTGCCTGCCTCCTTCTGCTCCACTTACTACTATGCTTCTAAGCCTGAGTGTACTTTCCAGAAGACTCTCCTTGGCCACATACCAGCACAAGTTTACAGTCCCTAAGTATTTAAAAGCACTGCTTTTAAGTAAAATCCAAACAGAAGCTAATAGAAATTTAGTTCTCAAAAATATTCTGTATAGCTAGCATATTTATTTTGCATTAATTTTCTCAAATTTGTATTTAATCCACTAGTTCATTGCTTTGCAATGTTTTGGTTCAAGTAAACACATCGTGCATTATTTTTTAAATTAAAATTTAATTCAGTCCAGCTGAGCTGCAAGTATATTTCAGCATTTGAATAAGAGCAAATTATTTCTCAAATATCCAGCTGGCATGATGCAATACCACAACCTATTTATTAATATAAATGATGGAATCCAAATTTGAGAACATAGTTTAAAAAAAAAAAATTAAAATAATCACACATTGGGATTAAAGAGATGGTCATCCTTACAGTGAATCTTGAACTGCAGACAATCCATTAGGAAACAGGTAAAGGCCCCTGGGTCTTTTAAGATGCTGGTGAATGTGACACCAGATGATTACGTCTACTCCATATTACAGCAGCTTCTGCATTAATAACAACTCGTCCCAAATTTCTAAGAACATCAAAGTACTTAAGCCCCAATTCCTTGGGAATCTTAACTTACACAAAGAAGCAGTACATCTCATTTAACGGTAACGGTTAAAGACAGGAAAACCAAAGTGCAGGTTTGTACGGGACTTTGGATGTGGACGATGTGCATGGCACAGACAAGAGGGGGAGTCAGTTCTGATTCCCGCCCTGGGCCTCTGCCACTCGTGAAAGTGACTCTTCACTACTTGCAAAAGGAGTTGTTCCCCCCAGCTTCAGTGCACAGGGACGTTGTCAGTAACCAGCAAGAGCGGCAGAAGGGATGTCTCCTCTATGGCTGTATCCAAATCCAGTTCTCATCAGCGCCAGGCAAGTCTCACGAGCTTTGGCCTGAGCAACCAAAAGATTTTCACTCTCACCAAGGCCAGCCCTGGATCCTGGGTAACACTTGGATTGTTGCCCTTGTCTCCTAGCCCCTCTCTCCACTCGGTGAAATTAAAGATATATGTGTGAACACTCTGGTTTTGAGTCATGGAAGAAGGCTTTTTTCCTATAGCCCCACTGACTGCTTTTGCCTGGATAGGAGCTCAGCCTGGCCCTTCCCATTTTCTGAACAAGCCAGCCTGATACCCTGGCATACATCAGCAACAGCAAAAGCGCTGTCATCCGTCACTGCTCAGCTATTAGGAGGTCACTGGGAAGACGCACTTGAATAAATATGCAAATTAAAACAACAAATTGCATAACCCATTCTCCTTCTTGCTAGCACCTCTCAGTGGAACACCACGCTCGATCTGCAGAAGGTCAGCCAGCAAGGCAAAAACATTTTTCATCTTGTCTAACAGCTAGTCACTCAATCTTCAAAATGATTTTCATGCATACAAGTCAGTCTCAAGGTTACACCTCAAAACCATTCCCAGCTACAGATCAGCCATTTATGAATCCCTCCCTATGCAATGGTCTATAATTATACACATCCATTGGCTGTCTTGTTGAGAAGCACTTATACAAACTCAACTGACAAGACCTACTGGTGAAGCTTAGGTGTCTGATAACATTTCATAACTCTGAAAAATTTAAAGGTAAAAAAAAATAAAAATCAAATACTGAAATTTCGTAGCATGTCTTAGTATGCATGAGACAATTTCAAAGTCTGTTCTGATCTACACAGCCACGTGAAATAACAGATCTTCACAGCAAAGTTGCAAGTATTTTTTTGGATAAGGGCATTCAAGTCTAGAAATGCATGCTCACTTTTATTTAATGCTACTGATATATTTAACATAGTCACCAGCACAAGTTTTGCAACCAATTTACTATGAGGAAGCTGTTTTTTTTTTAAAAAAAACCAACTAGTGATGACCAAATTATTAGGCTAATTCATCGTATCGTAGAATGGTTTGGGTGGGAAGGGACCTCAAAGATCACCCAGTTCCAACCCCCCTGCCATGGGCAGGGACACCTTCCACTAGATCAGGTTGCTCAAGGTTCCATCCAACCTGGTCTTGAACTCTGCCAGGGATGGAGCATCCACAACTTCCTCACGCAACCTGTGCCAGTGTCTCACCACCCTCAGGATGAAGAACTTCTTCCTTGTATCTAGTCTAAACCTGCCCTCTCCCAGCTTCCAACCACTACCCCTCATCCTATCACTGCAGGCCCTTGTAATAAGTCCCTCCCCACCTTCCCTGCAGGCCCCTTTCAGGTTCTGGAAGGCCACTATAAGGTCTCCCCAGAGCCTTCTCTTTTCCAGGCTGAACAAGCCCAATTCTCTCAGCTCGTCCTCATAGGAAAGGTGTTCCAAGCCTCTGATCATATTGATAGCCCTCCTCTGGATGTGCTCCAGCAGCTCCATGTCTTTCTTGTGTTGGGGGCTCCAGAGCTGGACACAGTACTCCCAGTGGTGTCTCACCAGAGCAGAGGGGCAGATTCACCTCCCTTGACCTGCTGGCCACACTTCTCTTGATGCAACCCAGCATACAGTTGGCTTTTTAGGCTGCAAGCGCACACTGGTGGCTCATGTGCTTGTTAGTGATTAGCAGAGATAAAACATATTTATGTACCCAGCACTGTTTCCAGAAGAGAAGGAAGTTCCCAGGTTCCTCCAGAAAAATAATATTTAAAAAAAATGGAAATCGTTCTTTTGATATTTGTTTAATGAAGTAAGAAACTCTAGTTACTTTGTATTTACTTTCAAGTCTGTACAAGGTTAGACACATATCCTGTAAGGCATAAAGGCTCTTTTGATGGAGGGATTCTTGTACCTATCAGAATTTGAGGGAAGCATACCGAGGACAACCTGGAAACAAGGGATTCCTCCATTTCCCCAAACAAGAGAGAGAAAAAGCGGAAGCAGAACAGGAAAAAAGGAATGAAGGAAAAAATGGATGGAAAAAACAGGGTTTGTATAGACCCTATCCCACCATCCCCAGCCTGTTTGCGTCAAGGGAGAGAGCGTTTCCAAACCCTATCCCACCATCACTGTTAGACTTTTACAACAACCCCCAACGGCAAGCCAAGTTTTGCCTGTTATTTTATGAATGGCAGGCTCAGGTAGGAAAACTACTCTCTCAACCTACTGCAATCTTTAGAGCTAGATTAGGGGATTAGGTAGTATTTGCCTGTTTAGGGAGTGTTTTGAGAAAGGCCTGTCTGTTGAGCAGAGTGAGGACACAACAGTCCTGTTTCCCACCTATCTGACATCAAGAAACATCCGGAAAAGATACAAAAAAGTTAAAACACTATCTGGGTGACATCCACAGGAGGTGACAAACTTAGTGATGAATGGTTCAAATCAAGGCAATTTCCTGAGATCCGTGAAATAAATACATAACTCCCTTCCTCTTCTCTGGGCTCACCCACCTCATGTGTTGTACACCATGCTGGACACAGTGAGAGGCCCTGCAATGCCAACAAAGCTACTACTGACTGCTTTAAATGCATAAGCAGAAGGTCACAGCCCACGGTGATGGCCCACAGCAGCAGCTGCTGCCACCAAAGCAAAGATCTGATCCATGCAAAATCATCCCTGGGTACAGAAGTAAGTAGCAGACAGTGGAGACCCAAGCATAGTGCAATGCCTCCCCTTCTCTTTGCTGTGCAGCCCAGGACAGTGGAAAACGGACCCAGAAGATCTGGAGTCTTACTGAATGTCCTGAACGCCAGATGTGTTTCTCTTCAGTGTGCAGATGGACTTTTAGCTTTAAATTTTTTACCTTCGATCTCCTTTCCATCTGATTGCTCCACCTCTCTTACATGCATTGCTGTATCACTTATTTTTACTTTTCATTTCTCCCCACTCTCAAAGCGATGATAGCTTATACCACAGTATTTATTTTGCTTGGCAGCTATACCCACAGCTCTCATGATGCCTTCTTGGTACAGGGAACTATCCTGTGTCTCCAGGACAGGGAACACCACCGAGCACAGCCCCTACAGCAAGATCTTCCTGTTCAGAGTTAAATCTCTGATTTGTACGCAGGACATTTTCCAAGAGAAATTGCTCAAGGAGGATAATCCCAGGGCAAAGTGGCCCCTATGGCTTCTACTGCAACTGCTGCCTCCTAACAACCACTTAGCTGGATTTGGCTATGTGTCTCACACTTAACCTTCTCCCTAAGTGAAGAGGGCAACAGAGTCGAGTTCAAAGACTCTGGATCCAACCCCTTTTTCTGCAGCGCCTGCCAGGGGCCCCTGGCCAAATCCCTGCATCTCAATTCCCTGTGCAGGACAAGCAACCACAGCGGGGACTCGCTCCGCCATGGGTTGGCAGTTTTGCTGCGCGAGCGCCATGGTTCAGCCACATTTTACAAAGGTCTGGTAACATTCATGTGGCTCACAAGATAAAAAGTAATGCTTAAAATGCAAACCCTGAGAGATTCCTGTATAATTATGAATCACTGTTTTGTGATGGAGATGGAAGTAGTTTCGGCACTTGAACATCAATTCACTATAAATGTTTTTCTGAAAGAGGCCAAAATTTGACAAATATTTGTCTTGATGTTGATTCTTCGTAATACAATAACAGGACAATAACCAACCATCATGGTATATTACAACAGATACTGTGCATGCAGGAATATCAATCCCAAAGATCTTAAAGTCCAAGCAGAGGCAGTGACTGAGAAAACAAATCAAAATAGTCCTTCTCCGTTAATTTTACAGGTTGAGTATAGATGCTCCAAGTTGTTAAGCAATTCACAAAGCTCAACATAAAAATTACTTCTCCTGCTACAAAGGAGTCTGATATCTCAAAATCCTTCCCATGCCGCAGCAAAAAAGAAACCAATGTCCTTTGGGAGGGGAAAGGGACCCCTGGGCAATGATGCCCCTGCCCAGAAGAGCTAATACCTCCCCTGTTCAGGTGCTACGTCCAAAACAGGTTCAAATCTTTGGTCATAATCAAACAGAAGTGAATTTCACCTGGGACCTTCTCAGCAATTGCCCAACCACAGGGTTTTTTTAGTATAAGGCCTGTGTAAGAGCACACACATACTCATTTGAACCAGAAACGGTGTCTTTCCATGATCAGTACACTGTTATTCTGGTTTCCACACACACAGCCTTCCCGATGAAAGAACAATTCGGCGGTTTTCCAACTCTGTTCCAGTAACCTACCAAAGGTAAGGTAGACAGCCTACTGCAGAGCTGGAGTCTCAGTGTGGATCTTCTAAATCCAGTATGATGCTTTAAAAATAGACCGTGCTTCCTCGTTCTTTTCCTTCTTAAGTCCCGCTCTACATACAATTTGAAAGCACTTGGAAGCATTTGAAAAGATGGGTTACCTAGACACCACTTTCTTTCCTCTACTGCTTTTTGAACATGCATAAGTGCAGCTTTGCAAAGCCACGTATTTAAGTATGTATCCTGGAAGATGATAATCAGAGGATGTTCTCAAAGAGTACCTTATCAAAAGGAACAAAACAATTCTAAGCAATAGTTTTAAACAAAACAAAGCCAACAACAGAGGAAAAAAAAAAAACCCAAACCACAATGAACCTTCATGAATAAGAGATAATTCTTCAGAGGGAAACACCTGAACCAGCTTTAAAACATTCTCGTGACTGATAGTTTTTCCACATGCTACCTCTTCAAAGTATTATAAGCAATCGTTGTTCAACTGCTACTTTTTGTAATAAGAGATGGATTAGCTGAGCTAGGTATATTAGAAAAAATGGAAAATAAAAACTAGTATTTTGCTTTGAGCTCTGAGCGCGAGTCAAGAACGGGGCACAACAGTTATAAGACCTGTCTAGGGGCTTGGTACCTTCAGATCTGTAATGTTTATATATAGCATACTGCAGATGAAAAAGGAAATCTGAAATTCACATCTGAGACAAAAATTGTTTATGAAAGCAAAGGGTTTCAAATCAGATCTCAATAGCTCCACAGAAGCAATGCATATAAGTGTCTCAGACTTCAAAGCATCCTGGAATCTTCCATCTTTCATCTGGTTTGTATACCGGCAGCTGCGATTACTGACAAGCCAGACCAGGTGATTTTTAAGAGACGTTCAGATAAAATGCACAAAAATGCTTCAGGAATGTTTACTTGCCATAGAAATCACCTTGCACCAGCGCTGCCTTCAGGCAACTTGGACAGGTCAGTGACGTGGGGCTGTAACCAGCACACCGTCCTGGGGAAACAACCCACAGCATCTCAACGCCCTTTATCCCTCACGAAAGAGTGGATTTACCAGTGAGTGACACAGCACGTGAGTTACAAGATAAAAGCAGAGTGGCAATCCATGAAAATCTGAAAACATGTATTTTCTTAAACAGGGTGATCAAGATCAGCCTGCATCTAACTGCCTGAACTAAGAATTAGCCTCTCAGACTGGGGATCAGTTCTGCCCCAAGGGAAATATCCTGAGGCTGATACTCACTGAGGCCAATTCTTCGCATTTTCCCTCATTGGCAAATGCTTAATGGAAAAAAAATAACTTCCACTTCAATAAATTTCCATTTATACAATTAATCCATGTCACAGCCTGCCATCAGTGGTTCAGCATAAATTAGTTTATGATTAAGAGCCACCTTAAGAATTAATTCACAGGAAAACTTGAATTAGCTCCCATTATTGGCATGGTTAAGCCTCCAGCAGCAGGGCAAAAGGCTACAAAGATGCTGACAAGGTGGCAGCAGGACCCGTGAAGATGCCCCTGGTGACACAGGGAGCCCCTTGCTCGTCCCCATGGCTGTGGGGCAGAGCAGCCTCCCTGGCGGGCAGCAGCTCTATGCCAGGGCAGCAGGGTGTCGGGGAGGGCACAGACTCTGGCAGGCAATAAGACCACTTCTTGCCTGCCATGTTATTTATCTGACATTTGCCATAATTGGAATGTAAAGGCTTAATTTAAGCTTTCTTTCCCCCATTCTTAAAAGGTAAAGATGTTTTATAATGGAAAATAATACGATCCAATTAAAAAAAGTGGAGAGGTGGTAGAGTGTGTGTGTGTGTGTACGCATAGTGTTACAAGCAGTTGCCCAGTCTTCCTCTACAGTTTGCTGTGAATAGAAACAGGAGTGAGGTTGTGGTACAGACCCATACTAGCTCCTTTCTCCTTGCTTCCAGATGCTTTAAAAACTTGACTTTTCAGGCTGTATTGACTTCAGCTAACAAAACTGAGCAACTTTTAATTGAAAAACAGTTTTGTCTTTTCACCTAAGTTAGAAAAGAAGAGTGTATTTGATTCTCTGATTATTCTGTCCAATTACTTGTCTCCTTTCCAGGGGAACGCACACTGCAGTCTCCTCTGTGGTGCTGTTGAGGCCCTGAACCCAGGTCTCTTTCACAGCATAGCCACATTTTGTCCACATGTAAATTGTTCTCTGCAATATCTTCCCATTGGTTTTGATAAATACTAGTGTGGAGTGCAACCATTTATATATAGCGAGCAGAAAAGCAAAGGTTTTCTATGTAACTATTTGGAGTAAAAATGCTTTAAAAGGCAAAAATGTCATGTGTGTATGCATTTTTTAAAATCTCCCCCAAAACAGACTTTGTAAGAAAGATCTTTCAGACACTACCTTTTTCTAGGAGACGCCTATATATGCACATAGTCATTTGTATTATAATTCCTAAGATTGAAAAAAAAAATAATGCAAGGAATATTTCAATCTTTGAGGAGCAATTACTCCAGCCATTTGAAAAACAACTTGGGAAATGCTCAACCTTATAATGAGTGGAAACAGCCTAAGCTCTAAGAAGTTTATCTTTGTCTCATCCACGCATTCCCTCTCATGTTTAAATCCCTAGAAAGGCAGACATACAAAATGGATTGCCGAGGTTTCCACAGAGCCCACAGTTTAATTCATCTCTCTCCAGCAGACATCTCAAGCCAGTGGCATTTTGTTACCAATCCTTGGGAAATTGTAGCAGCTATCGCAGAGCATTATTAACTTGGACACCGCTGGAAGCCCAGACATTCACAATACCCTTACATCTCCATGGTCACATGGGAGAGCTGTGCTCTGAATAAAATAAAGGGCACTTGCAAGAGTATTAATTTCTACAATTGAATAAACTATAATAAAACTACAACAGCAAGTCTGTTTCACAAATGAAAGTCTGTAAGGCCCAAGATTACACAACATCAGATGAGTGCTACAGCGTGTGCCTTTAGTGATAACAAGTATGATTCTGTGTCAGTTTTTTCTTCTTTATTTGGAGTCTAGTAGTTCTCATGTCCTTCCTTTAAAAGTCACAGGAACACATCATAATCCAACATTTCATTTTTTGAGGATGAAGTTTATAAGGCTGCAATCCAAAGACTGCACCCTGAAGAATTGCGGGGAAAAAATATCTAATCTCTCCCCTTGGTTTTCAAGGCCCCATTGTTGAAATCTGGCCCTATTTAAACTTAAAAGTATTCTCTATGTGCAGGAAGATGTAACTTGAAGCCACAAGAGTTCTGCTTCTAGTGTTTTCAGGTACAGCTTTCTGTATCATCTTTGCAGGCCAAAGTCGGCACTTAGAGCAGTCTGTTACACCTACCCACCATCAGTGACTGTGATTAACTCCCTGGAAGTCCACACTGTCTCCATTAACAGTAAGGACTTGTCTTTTCAGTCTTGCCATTTAGGGTGCAAGCACAGGTCTCTGCCAGCTCCCAAGCTATCCTTGCCTTGTTCTGCATTTTGCCCTAACGCTGCCACAGCACCATTTGCTGCTCACAAGCTGCACAGATGTTTCACATCTTCAGACTGAAATGCTTTTGCCACAGAAGGACATAATAATGTGGTTCCCAAACTCTGGTTTGCAAA